ATATCCAGAGTTGGCTGCAGAACCACTGGGCTCAGTTCTGGGCACACCAGGGAACTGATCTTCACCACATCAATAATATGTTCTGATAATTCTTGTACTTTCGGCTGCTCCTCCAGAACTTTCTTGGTGTTCTTGTAGACTATGTAAAGCACCATTTGAGCAATCCCAAAGAGGAAACCCAGTATGTTTGGAAACTGTTGGTTCAATAAACAAAGAGGAAAAGAAAAAGATGATTATTATTAATAAAATATGAATTCATGTGATGCCTGCATGTCACATGCATGCAACTATATATATATATATATATATATATATATATATGTATATAATATGTGTGTACAAGGTTTTTATTTACTCACAGCTATGTTGTAGTCCTTGATCAGAAGACCATAGAAGAACCACGTGACAGCACCTAATGTTAGGAAAAATGATAATGGAAATGGCATGAACTCAACACTCTTGGTCCGTATTACTTGTCTCTGCACAAATACATGCTCAGTTAAGATGTTACAAATAGCAATACCTAGAAATTTTCGTTTAGCCCGTCGTTAATTACCAGGACGCCAAGAGGTGCAACGAATACGCTTAGACTGAAGACAAGACAAATCCATCCCACAATCTTAAGCCGTATTTCACCTGTGGCTAGAAAGTGAGTCAACATCATCATCAAGCCGTAACCGAAAACGTTCAGCAAGAACACAAGCGTCAGGGTTGAGATCTGCAGGTTCCAAATTAACCCGACATGTAAGTTCAAACTTGAGGAACTGGACAGATTAATGAGAGCAGTTAAGCAAAATCTGAAGATTGTTATGTTAATGAGCTGGCCGATCGATACGTACCCTGGCCTTCTTAGGGGCATAGAAAAGAAATAGGGAAATGTAGAGAGTCTCTACGACGCAGCCAAATGAGTTGATTGTGATGAGAAAAGTGGCATCTTCTTTGAACTCTTCTTTGAGGAGAGCGTAGTATATGTACAGCATTGAACTCAAGAGGGCGATTACATATGGAAGTGCTTGAAACCCTTCAGCAGTTTTTCTCTTGTATACTGTATAAAATGTTGGCCTGCAATGACAACAATCATTTGATGATGAATATTTGAAGTTCCATGCCATGGAGGAAAAAAGTCAATATACAGTGAGAGAAAAGGGAAGAGAGAAAAAACCACACTTACACTGGAGCAAGGAAGACCAAGAAGGAGATGATGTTGCCTACGATAAAAGAATAAAATTATTTTAGTTCTCAAGAACTCTAGACACATATTACAAGCAATAATGTAGCAAACATGAATTAAGTTGCGACATGCATGTAAAAAGATAGAGCATGTCTCGGGTTCAAATCCCCATAGCATTTTAGTTGTGTGCGTGTATGAGAAATTCTTCTTCCCCTTTAGTTTAGACTTGCTTTTACTCAAAATAAAATGGGCTATAGCTAGCTTCTATGAGTCGATTAATGGTGAAAAAGAAGAGAAAGAAAGAGAGAGAAAGTGAATGAACGTTTTGTACTATACCTAAGAGGCCAAAGGCCAAAGTCAAAGGATGTTGAATGGCCATTCTTATCAAGAGATTGAAGGCTCTCTCTCTCTCTCTCTCTCTCTCTCTCTCTCTCTCAAGCTCTCTTAATTTCACTCACTCTGATCTCTCTTGCTCAAACAGACAAGAGAATTAACTACACAAACTACTATCTCATATATTCTTTCTCAATGCCACACTTATGCTTAGAAGCAAAGGGCTAGAGCCATATTTATACAAGGAGGGGGCAGAAGGGTCACGAATCTGAGTGACCAAGTTGCATGCAAAAATGTGAGAAGCAATATCAATGAAACACTCTTGGGTTTAACCTTTCCAGTTGTTCATTTGAGCCTTTTACGTTTTACATAATCCAAACAGCTTTCTAGCCCCTATTGACCTATCATTTTCCTATATTTTCCCTATTTGGTCTCTTCTCTCCTCAGCAAGAACGCTAACACCAGTTGAGCCCTTGCTGCCAAGTACTATTTCTAGTACATACACAACATCCTTGTGGGCCCCACCAAGTTTCTTTCTGATGTGTCACCCACCAAGTGGTTTAAGGGTTACAACTCATAGTTCAGTTCTAGGGATTTCCTTGCTCTTTTCTCAGGGCGTGGCTCCTCTGCTTCTTCAAACACCAAATTGTTTGTTCAATTTTACACTATTCACCAATCAAATGTAAGAAATAGTAATAACATACATTTCTCAAATAAATGTTACATTTCCAATCATGATTGATGTGACAATATTTCATTTGTTCATTTTTCAAGTCTATTCCGAATCTTTTTTTGTTTTTTTGTTTTTTTGTTTTTTTTAACCAGAACTTCAAATTAAGATACTGGCACATGGCGTATCAAATCATTATTGATTAAAATTTATGAAAACTTTCTGTATTATTAATTAATTATTGAGTAGACAGGGTAAATGGTCGGTTTAGATTCTCCCTACCAATTTTTTACTACAAATTGTACAATGTACTGCAGCGCACTAGATTGAAGTTACATTACAAGACCACTTGCTCAGT